GTAAAATGGCGCGACGTTTTTCAAGGTAGTAATGTAAGAAACAGGAAGGTTGCTAGCTGCGGTTGCTATGGTGTGGCGACTACCCTACGTACTATGTCGACTAAGGAGGTAGAACTACGATAGCTAAGTCTGTCGAGAGAGGGAGGGAGGAAATTGTGGTCGGAGTTGATCTGAATGTGTACAAACTGTTCGTGATAGAACATTGTGAACAGTTTGATTCAGCTCGCGATCGCTTCGCTTGCAAGGTAAGCAAATGTCACCCGCTCGGAATTTCTTCACCGCCGAGATTCACTGGTTTCGGCGAATCCCAACTTCGAGTCAAACCAATTCGCCGATTCAAATCTAAATTTACATCGAGCGACTTTCCTGCACCTTCCGAAAGACGCGCAAACGCGTGCCTGCACCTTCCGTGAGTCATAACCGGAAACTAACAATGCAATTCGGCGACAAATAACTATTTTGCAGGTATAGCTAGTAAGTATAACAAAAGTCATCACGCTTAACCAGCAATCACAGCTAGCTTATCAATCTATCTACTCAATCAACTCTCCAACAGATTATACTTGTACTATGGAGACCCCTGTGCAGACCTCCGAGCATCCCGTGTGGCGATGCTTCATTGTTCCTGAGTGCGGAACGTCTGATTCTATGCCAGCGAAGAAATGCAAGCGATGTGGTAAGTCGTGGAAGCTGAATGTGGCACGAGCTCAGGCACACATTCTCGGAATTCGAGGAAGCGGAATCACGCCATGCACCTCAGCTACACCAGAGGATAAGGAGAAAATCCGTTCCGCGATGGATGATAAGAGAAGGGACTCTGATTCTCGCGAGAAAGCGCAACAGAAAACGTCCGATGCATTCTCGCCATCGTCTACTACGAACACCAAGTCGGCAAGCATGGGGGTGAGTGGCTCCAACTAGCGAAAAGTAGCAGCATGGCGCGCAAGAGACAGGCGACGCAACGTACGCTTATGGATACTCGCCCCAAATCCGTCGACGCGGCAAGTGCGCAACTAGCCATCGCAACGTTTTTCCACGTGTGTCGTATTGCACCGAATGTTGCGGAGCACGATGCTTTCAAGACGATGCTGAAAAAGGTTGCTGCTGCTGGTACAAGATTTACACCTCCTGGACGACGGCTAATAATGGGAAGATGTTGGAGGAGTGCAAGGCGAACACCGACACTGCGTTGAAGGATTCATGGAAGGATGTCGGGGTGTGCATCGCGTGTGACGGTTGGACCGACAATGAAGGACATCCGCATCTGAACTTCTTAGTTGTCAATGCGATTGCATCCGTATTTCTTTTTGGGGTGGATTGCGGCACGGAGAAGAAGGGAGCAGAATTCATTGCTGGCCACTTGAAGACGGCAATGGTCATGGTGGGAACGGAGAACGTAGTCGGCCTGCTGATGGATGGTGCGTCTGCGAATGTCAACAGTGCCAGCATCATCGCCCTTGACTACCCAAAAGTTCAGTGGATTCGTTGCGCTGCGCATTCTCTCAATCTAATGATGAAGGACATTGGCCAACTCGGTTGGGCCAAGGATACCATCGACCGCGCGCAGCAGCTAATTTCGACGCTGAAGAATGCGCACTGGATTACGGCGGTTCTTCGGAAGGAGAAGGCGCTACAAATCTTGAAACCTGCAGGCACTCGTTTTGGAACAAACTACATCGCCCTCGAACGCCTGCAAGCAGTGCGCAACACTCTCGACAAGCTGGTGCTGAGTGAGGATTGGGAGGAGTACGTCAAGGGAAAGCCAAAAATGAAGGACGCATGGGATACTATTATCGACAAAGAGTTCTGGGCGCGCGTTGGGACGGTGCTCGATGTGCTTCGTCCGGTCTATTAGCTGTTGCGGAATGTTGACGGCAATCAGGAGGTGATGGGCAAGATCTATGACAAAATGTTTGTTTTGGAGGACGCGGTGAAGGAGGCGTGGAAGGAGCTGACCGAGGAGGAGAAGGAGGATGTGACCGACATCGTGCGGAATCGGTGGAACAACGACATCAACTGCGCGCTTCACGTGGTCGGACGGATTTTGTACCTGCCAAACCAATACGAGTCAATATTTGGAATGGACGTGGAGTGTACCAAGATATTCAAGCAATTCATTCGCAATTACTACAAGGGTAAGTTCGTGAAAATGGGAGGGGTGATGGCGTCACTCGCAACCATCGTCGAAAAAGAGGTCTTGACATATACCAAGGGGAAGGGAGATATTGGGGAGCAGAAAGTGCATGATGAACAAGAACTCATCAAAGCTGGGCTTTTGGATTCGGCGCATCGTTGGGAATTCAATGGCACGGACGTGCCCCACCTCTCCAAGCTTGCAAGGAGAGTTCTCAAGCAATGCATCTCAGCCTCCCCTTGCGAGACGAACTGGGTCGTTTGGGAGTCAATCTATACAGCTCGTTGTAATCGCCTTGGAGCGAAACGCCTTGCCGACCTGGTGTACGTGAGCCACAACTATCACACAGTGAAGAAGTTGAATGAGGATCTTGCTAAGAAGCTGGTGGTGAGTGGGCTTCCTGTGATCCAAGTTAAGGAGGGACCTACTGACAGCTACGGGCATCTCGATGACGACGAAATCCCTGATGAGGCATATCTTGATGGCCAAGAAGCGAAAGAGCCGAAGGAGTGAGGATGATATGATATTCAGCACGACTCGTGCATGATGGTACTTTTGTTATTTGGGAAATTTCGAGGTTGTAATGGAATGTTTACACTATATGATGGAAATCATGATTACGAGGGAGTAATGTAAAAAAAAAATATACATATTCGGGCAGCCCAGAATTTTTTCCACCTGCCCGTACATTAGGCCTCCAACCCAGCAGCCGCGTAAACGTACGTACCCGTACACGTACGTACGTAAACGTAAACATAAATGACCAACTTAGGTACAGACGGGAGCGGGGACAGTAGGGAATACAAGAGAGAAAACGACCTGTGGAGGTGTGGTAAAGATCACAATGGTTAGCGCCACCTGGGATGATAGTTGTGATCATGGCTTGTTGGAGGGGCCTTTGGGAAAGGAGGTTAGTGCGAGGGGAGGGAATGTGAAGACCTGTGACAGTACCTGAGGGAAAGAGAGGACACGGAAGGGTGGAGGTGTTGTGAGAAGGGATGGAAAAACTGCTGTCAGCGCCAAGGAGGTGGGTGTGGGGAGAGGGTGGAGTGTACCAGCATCACGAAGGACAGTGTCAGTGGCTCCACTGTCCAGGACGAACTCAAAGGTGGAGGAGGGTGAGGCGGAGTACTTAAGTGAAGTTTCATTAATAGCAGGAGCATATATGGGGGATGCAACAGATGCAAGCTGACTAAGCAAGCCAACAAAGCCAGAGGAGGGAAAGGGGGTCACACTGCCACCTGTGGACGGCGCAGGGGATGGACCGGAGAGGTGGGCCGCGGAGGCAGCATTCCCGGTGGTTCAGCTGGAAAATGGCTGCTGCTGGGAGACAGGAGGGAAAAGAGGAAGCTGGGGCTGGAGGTCAAGCTGCTGCTGGAGCTGCTGAAGCTGCTGGCTGTACTGCTGCGGCCCCTGCTGCTGCTGGTGCTGCTGCTGTGGGGGGAGAGTAAGGGCCTGGTGGGCCTGGGAGGAGAAGGAAGGGGCGTAGAGGGGAGAGGTTCGGACATCCAAGGGAGTGGGGCAGGGGCTGAGGGCGGACTAGCAAGGAGGGGTGCCAGAGTTCCCACGAGCGATCCACTCATCACTGAGTGCCTTGAAGCATGTCTCAGTTGCATGAGTGGTTTGGTTGCAGCGTTGGCCTCGAGTAGGGCCATAGAGGGGAACATACTAACAGGGTGGGAAGGCCGCTGCTGCACCACGACCCGCGCCACCGCGACCGCCAGAGCCGCCTCGCCCACCACCACGCCCACCCCCACACCCGCCCTTGCTGCTACGCTGCTGTGCCGCTGCTGCAGTGGAGAAGGAATGGCAAAGGACGAATGGGGCGTCCGCAACAGCTGCGTGCAGCCCGTCCGCGGCGAGGTGCAAGGGGAGGTGCGGCGGTGAGGAAGGGGAGGAGAGTTGCACCTGTGGGAGAGTGGATCGGGGCCGCGGGAGGGCAGATTGGGTCTGCAGGAGGGCAGATCGAGGCCACGCACGGGAGGGCGGATATGAGGTGCAAACGGTGAAAAATACTATAGGGTAGGTGGATCTGAGCCATGGGAGGGCGGATCTAAGATAGAGTCCGCTAGGGTAACGCCTTGAGGGAGGCTAGGTGTAGGAGGCGTGGAAGAGAGGGTGGCCTAGGATCGAGGGAGGAAGGTGTGAGCCATTGAGCTCAAGATACCATGTCATAACTTAAGATTGTGTTTTACTAATGAGCCAAGAGGCTCTATAATACAAGCATGCAAGAAGAGAAGAGTGGAAGAGATCTAACCCTATTGGCCACTAAGTTGGCCAATGGGTGAGGTGCCTTGTTGAGCAAGCAACCTCACAATGTAGCTAGGTTGGGATTGATTGTTCTAAGGACCAAAAGGTTGGGAAGTGCCAACCAAGGACGATGACCAAACCCAAGCTTGACCAACCACAAAGTGTGGTTGGAGTGTACACCCAACCCCCCAATAACATTAATGACTAAACCTATTCTAGCCTATGAATGTTGTAGAACATATACATTTACAACAGTGTTTGTTTGAAAATTGCTTTGAGTTCACATCTACCAAACCTTTCTAGTATCGCCCCTAACTCTGTGTCAATGTCCCATGCTGTAAGTTATGTGGTGGTGCGCAGGGCTCTCAACCACAACAACTTCATAGGGCCCATTCCCGACTCCATCTCCACCCTCACCTCCCTCAATAGCATGTGAGCCACCACTGCTTGCACCCACACATCCCATCCAACTGCGCTGCATGTGTAATAATCACTTGTGCCTGATTTCTATCCTTTGCCTCCTTGTAACCTGTGGTGCAGTTAGGGAGCATGCCCGCATTCTTCACTCCATAGCATCTACTCACCTGTGCTCCCCACATCTCATCTCACTCTGCAGCATCCTCAACAACAACCAGCTGAATGACTCCATTCCATCTGCCAACTTCAGCATGAGGAATCTAGCTTCCCTGTGAGCTCAACTCAAGTGCCCTCCGAGCACTCGTATGTCTGCACTCCACTGAGTGCCCACTTCTTGTCTGCTCGCTCACAACTATCCCTCATCCTGCACTTTTCCACTAGTTATTTTCATCTTCCATGCATCTCAACGATCGGTGATATCACCCCTGCAGCTATCTCGCCAACAACCGTCTGAGTGGCAGTCTGCAGTCTGCCATCAGTTGCCTGGAGAAGCTCGAACAGCTGTGAGCACCCTTACTGCCTGAGCCTGACATTTCTTCCTGCCTCACGATACCTGGGCTCGGCATGGAGAAGCTGGGTGGCACAACCTTGGAAAAAAACTTGGAAAAAAACCAAGCGCACCGTATGAGCTGTAGGTTTTCACAGCCCTTGCGAAGAATAACCCCACCCATCCATGATGTGCGGTTGTGCGGTACTTGAGGTATTACTTGGCCGGCCAGCTGTCTTAGCTGCCCAACTGACACTATGGGTCTTGAGGCAAGATTGGGCGTGATGGATGCCGTTCCTCCCTTTGCTGGTCCTGCAGTGGAGGAGGTGTGGTCCGTCTTGTCCGGGACGAGTGGTCACCAGCTCCCAGGAGGAGCTGTGGCAGGTGCAGTCAGAACGACACAGCGGGTGCGCACTGGTGGAGGGAGTTGGAGATAGGAGGCACAGCGTGTGGCTGAGCAAGGGGTCGATCAGCAATGCCTGGCTTTCCTCCAGGAGCAGCAGAGCATGCACTATACCACGTGCTCAACTTCCTGACTTGTCGATGAGCAGCCGAGAGAGTGGTGGTCGTAGGATGACAAGTGAGTGTGGTGTTCACAAGTGCTAATAGGATCAATGTCCGCCATGGATTTCCTCCGCGCTTCGGCGGGCTCAATGTCCTTCAATTTCTTACCTGAATTTAATTTATCTTTAAGTGGATATCAGCATTAAGTGGATATCAGCATCGTGTTCAGAAAGAGAACATTGATTTCGCCTTCATGGGAATACCTTCTGTCAGGGAAATGTCAGGTCATGGAAGTTGTCAGCTGACCTGTCACTAGTGTGCGGTTACCAAGGTTCCAGGATTGCATCGCCTAAGTTTTGGGATTACGGCTTATCTACAACTCCTAATAATGGGAATTCAAGGCTTGCAGCTCTTCTGGTTGTTAAGACCTGCTATTATGCAAGCAAATGGAAAACTAAGTTCTGTTCGGTGCTCAGATCAGCTTCTTTATTTGACATCCTTGGTCAGCTTTCTGCCTATATATCATCGCACCATGGGCCGTGGGAGAACTGCGAGAGGCAAGGCTACTGCTCGCGACTCAAAGTCTGAGGGTGAGGACTCCCCGTTGGAGAAAAGTCCGTTGGTGTCCGCTCCGTCCACGCCGCTGGTGACGAGCAACGGTGCTCCTGATCTCAACGCTGCGGATAACCTAGAGTCGTTTATCTGCATTGAAGAACAATGGGCTTACACATGGTGCGGAAGGAGGGAGCAACGGTCAGTGCATAGAGGCTCCTCCAGTCCCATCGGTGGCTCATACGCCTGATCTGCAGGAGGGAGGCGGGGATGATAGTGATGATCGTTATGACCGTGATGAGTTCAATGATGAGGTCGATCCCGCGACGGCCAGTGTTATTGCTGCTCAGATCATGTTCCCGATTACGCTGCTCATACCTTCTAAGATTGTTGAGGAGGTTCCGCGGACGAAAAGCCTTGGTGGCCGATTATCTTGATTTCTGGAAAGCTTCTTTGTCTCTTGATGTACTAACCATTACTAATTTTCAGAAAAAGCTGCCTACTTGCCTCTCCAAGTGTCAATACGGGAGGCTGCAAGTTACTTTCCTGCGTGAAAGCGATGCTAATTTCGTATGGCTGCGCTGATTGAGCATGACTGCTGTGATGGCAAGACGACGCTGCTGCTGGACTGGCAGCATCCTGAGAACTCTACCTTCATCCGCGAGCGTGTCTTGCATCCGGCTGCTGTTGAAGTTGTTCTCAAGAGTGTTCCAACGTAGCTGTCCCCTAAAGTGGTCTGCAAGCTGCTGGTGGTGGAAAAAATTGTTCAGACAGGGAGGAGCGCGATTAATGAGGGCCACGGCTTTTACTGGACCCAGGATCCGGTCACAGGGATGGACACGGATCAGACCCGTGGGTTGGTGACTCCTTTTGTGGAGGATTCGAACCGTTAGAGGTTTGCAGTTCGGGACCCCTCTAAGCACGGGAAGAGGCTGTTGATTCACCTCCCTTTCATGTCCTGTGGATACTGCAGGGGTCAGCATGTGACAAGGCATCATGATGAATACGTCGCTGTCCGGCAGGCAAACATCGGGCAAATGGAACCTTACGGTACTGCTGTCATTACTGCTCGCTATGGATCGATTTCTTTACCTTGTTCGCGTACTGATGTCTTGTCCTGGCTTCACCCCCGTAGCGGCCTCACTGATAGTCACAGATATGCTGAAGAGTGTCCTCAACGACCCGGCTGTTGTGCTTACCTCGACTGGCGGATCAAGGGAGGACTGGGTCTGTGTGGTTGCGGGATGCGAGAAAGCTCATGGTTCCAGCTTCGAGCAGGCAGCGGTTCACGCTGCGTCCCTTCGTCACAAATCCAACCTTACCAAGCCGGGAGCCGCTACGCACAACAGCAAGGGGGCTATCAGTTTTGCTGTGCTGAGGAAGGAGTTTGCCAAGTGACCTGCGTTTTCACGGTCAAGGGCAGGAGGCAGGGAATATGTGGTGTTTCAATGATGTAGACTTGCAAGTGGCAAGATGTCATGATGTGGTTGTAGTGTTCTCATCTGGTATACTTGGCGTCGTCGTTGTACCTGTGATCGTTTCCAACGCGTGGATGATGTGGGGTCCTCGGCAGTAAATTAATGGATAAATGCAACAAGATCGTAATCACCTCGCTTAACATCAACGGCTTAGGGAGCGCAGAGAAGAGAGAGGAACATCTGCAATGGTTCAGAACAGCGGCAAATGTCCTTTTACTCGCTGACACTAAGGTGGAGGCGGATCACAACGTTTGGACTCAACTTAGGCCAACAGCTTTTGCAGCGGTGTCACCTGCTGTTAGTGCTGGGGGAGTGGCAGTTTTAAGCTTCACACCGGGTGTGTGCTTCAAGGACGTGCAGATACATGAATCAGGCAGGCTGGTGGCGGTGACAATAGAGAGGGGTGACTTGATCTGGCGGGTTCTGGAGGCTTACCTGCCGTCTCAGCCTACCAACAAAGGAGTCTTTTCAGGGACTTCCTGGTGGACTTTATTGGCAAACTCGCTCCTGTGCAGCATACCATCCTCATCGGCGACCTCAATATCACGGCTGATCCAAGGCTGGACAGGACGCTGCAGAAAGGGTCCCGGAATGAGAATCGGCATTTGTTGGATCTGTTTGCGGCGTAGGATCTGCATGATGCTTTCCGCACTCTTCATCCGACGAAGAGGGAGTACGCCGTTTACTCCCGTTCGGCGAGGGAGAGTACCCGTATCAGATGCGTATCACTCCTCGACCCTGCACGGCATCTCGGACCACTAGTTCGCCATGTCGGTGGTCATTCGTGTAGAGGCATGTAAGGGAAAGGGCCGGGTCTGTGGAGGATGCTCGCTGCACAAGCCAGGAAGCCAGGTATAAGGAGAGAATTGAGATGATCCTGGGGGACCAGGGCGAGCGGCAGGAGCAGGAGTTCCCGGAGCTGCTGGGCAAGCTGCAGGCCAGTATTCGGGCGTACTCGACTGCGGAAAAGAAAAGGATGAACAAGACCATGAGGAGGCTGGAGGAGATGGTGTCAAGGCTGAAACAAGAATACATGGGTGGTACTGGTGGTACCAGCTGCTATGAAATGCTTGTGAAATACAGCTCGGTGCTGAATGCTTACCAGGAGGAGCGAAGGATCAGACTGCAAACCACGGAGAGGGGTCAAGTGGAGTTAGTTGGTGAGCTCCCCTCCAAGGTGGTGTCCGGGAGATTGGCTTCAAGGAAGGCGCAGACAGAGATTGAGGAGGTTGTCTTCAAAGGGGTGCAGTACTCCGGAGAGAGGGAGGTGCTTTCCGCTGCCTCCGCCTACTTCATAGAGGTGTTTGCGGCTCAGGAACAAGAGGAGACTGCAGCCTGGCTGGTGGATCCTGCCAAAATGCTGCATAAGGAAAAGAAAGAGATGCTGAGAGCGCCATGGACCGAAGGATGAGATTAAGGCCGCGGTTAGACAGCTGCCGAAAGGAAAGGCTGCCAGGTTGGATGGGCTCTCGAAGGAGTGCTAGAGGAGAACAGGGGCCTACTGGGGCCCAGTTTCTTGAGCTTTGCGAAGTCTTTCGAGCGCTCGGCGGTGCCGCCAACTCAGCTCACAACGGCGGTGACCATCCTACTACACAAGAAATGGGACAAGGCCAAACTGAAAAACTACAGATCAATTACTCTCTTGAGTGCGACATACAAAATTGTGGCGAAGGTGCTGGCGAACAGAATCAAGAAGGTGTTGGCGTCGGTTATATCGCAACATCAGTATGGGTTCATACTGGGGAGGAAGCTGGCTGACGCGGTGACGGTGGTTGCAGACGTCATCGATGCAGCGGCGGCAGGGGACGAAGACTGGTACCTTCTTCTGGTTGATTTCCAGAAGGCTTACGATTTTATCTCCAGCAGATACCTGTTTCAGACGCTGGAACGGATGGGGTTTCTGGAGGAGTACGTGAGCTGGATGTGTGGCCTGCACATTCAGGCAGGGACGCAGCTGTTGATTATCGGATGGATAGGAGAGAAAGTCGGCATGGAGAAAGGGGTCAGGCAAGGGTGTCCTCTGGCTCCGTACCTCTATATCTGCGCAGCGGAGCCACTCAGCCAAGAAATTAAGAGGAGTAAACTGGATGTACGGAAAAGAGGAGAGGGGGGGGTAGCCTACCTTGGCTACGCGAACGACACGACTCTGGTGTTGAACCGGAAGGAGCAGATTGGAGTTGCGTGTGAGCTTCTGGAAGAGTTCGGAGTACAGTCAGGCCTCTGGGTAAAAACATGGGCAAGCCACTTCTGGCGGATGCCCCGTATGGCTGGGCAGAAGGAGGTGAACCACAAAGACCGCTGGGCATCTGGATCACGCCGAACGGGGATCCGGGGCCGTCATGGGAGAAGGCGTTTGACAGGGCTGGAGAAGTGGCAGAACCAACACGTCCCGACCTCGGCACGTGTCTCAGTGCTGAATGGGTACACGCTGCCGATTCTCCTCTTCCAAGCTCAGGTGTATCCGCCTCCCTGCGGGCTGTGGAAGGAGTTCCGGAAGACCAGCCAGAACTTCACTTCCAGCGGCAAGGCATCGGCGGACAGGCATTTAATTCTCTGGAGTGGGGACCTCGCGTACAAAGACAGGAAGGAGGGGGGTTTGGGAGTAATCAATCCGACGGACAGAGTGGACAGCATGGCATTAAAAAGCCTGGGGGATGCCATTCAACAGCAAGACCCGATGAAGTGATGGCTGATGGAGACAGCAGCGAGCATGCCCTTCGGTTGGGCGACCCTACTTGTGCACAGGGCTGTACTATGACTCTGGAAGAGGGGAGTTAGATGGAGGATGACGGCGCTCTCCTTCTGGAGGACACTCCAGGAAAAGATCCCGGCACCAGCGCACAGATGGGAGTTTGCCCAGGAGTGGCTGTGTTTTAGCACGTACATCTTCTACAGGGGGAAAAGTCCGTTCGGCAGGCAGAAGGGATCTGAGTGCCTGCTGGAACTGAAGCTGGGCGACCTGGTGCAGGCAGAGAGGGATGGCACAAGGCGGGTGAAAGACCCTAAACCTTGACTCGGGAAACCGGGAGTTCCACGACTGCGGTGGGCGCTGAGGGCGTGGAAAGCGGTGCCGGAGACCTGGAGGGAGGCTCTGCTGGCACCTCTCGCTAGGGGAGAAATTATGAGGCTGACGAATTTTGCAAGTACGAGGTCGCTCACGGGGAAGGTGTCTTTTTGGCACCTGCAGCAAGTGGAAGAGGGCAAAATCATAGGGAGTGCGGCGGATGTTGGTGCTAAAGGGAAGATTGAGATAACGGGCTATTCGGAGCAGATACGGCTGGAGGTTCATAGGCCAACTCTGCTGGTGGTGGTGGATGGTGTGCTGATAGGCGATGCTGGCCTCCCTCTCTCGCGCCTCAGAGCATCGGTGTTGTGCGAGAACGGGAAAGGCGCGCCCCTGAAGAAGCTGAGGCTGGAGCTGAAAGGTCCTGCAGACCAGCCGAAGCAGCAGAAGGAATGGGAGGAGGAGTATGGGAAGGTCATTGACTGGAAGAGGGGCATCAGGAACGGGACACTTTGATCACGCCGGGCAGAGCGAGAGAAATTGTTCTGCGGGTACACTGCAAGATTCTGCAGGTGGGAGAGAGGCTGCACTTAATGAAAGATCATATCAGCTGCCCGCAGTGCAAAGGTGATGGAACTCTAGCTCACTGCTTGCTGGAGTGCGCTGCCATCCAGCCTGTAATTGGCACGCTGAAGGGGGCGCTGAAACAAATGAATCCAAGAAGGGAGGTGGGGAAGTTAGATGATTTCCTATTTTCGGAGGATGGCATAAAGTCTGGTTTTCCATAGAAGCCGCTTATAGCGATTGCGTTCCACCAGATTTGGCTGGGGCGGTGTGCAGAAGCCTTTTGTCGGGATAATTTTCAGCCAAGGAGGGTGCTCAGTAAAATCGGGGTGAATTTCCTTAAGCATGTCAGAATCTACAATGCGCAGATGAAGTTCGTGGCTAAAGGTGGCAAGAAGCAACCTGTGGTATGGACGTGGAGTACCTGGCACGTGACGAGGCCAGGATGATGGGTCAGATCTTCAGGGATGAGGAGTCGATGACGTGGAGTCATGGGCTCAAGTCAGTGTGGGCCAACCCGAGGACGATTTTCTAACCTCCGTAGGACGCCACGAAATGGCTGTGTGGTCATGTGGCTGCCTGTCCCCTTCCCCTGACTCAGTTACGACTGTGGATGTAAACACTTTTATAGTGCACTCTGCATCCTTTCCAAAAAATAAAAAAAGGTCCTAACAGGTGCCCTCCATCGTCCGGTCCGGGTGCATGGGGGCGGCATCATGTAGGTATTCGAAAACCACCACCACCAACGCCATTTTGCAGCTGGCAAGGAGGTGGCAGAGGTTTAGGCAGATAATGCCTGGGAACCTACGTGGCTGATGGGTTTGGATCCACTTTAGGGTGGATGTGGTACCACTAGGATGGCGAGAATGCAGAGCCACTGGGGCGGAGTTCTCGTAGCTTGGGGACTACCATTGAGGCTGTTGTAGGCGAGCTCATGGCGGAAACTACCGGCAGACTCGCAGCCGGGAGAGGCCGCCCTTATGAGCGCATGATGAGCGCATGGCGAGGACGACAGCAGGCGCGGCCCGTGCGCGTGCGGAGATTCCAGCCATGATCTGGACGATGCGGTGGCGCCAAACAGCCTGGCTGCGTGAGCATGCGGGGAGATTCATGTGCAAAATCCTCCGCCGCTCAACCTGTTGGCGTGCCCTCCTGCGGTGGCACCGCCGCCTCAGCACCGCTTGGAGCCCCGCAGCGACCTCCACAGGCGGCTGCGGAAATGTGGTGCTCTGCTCCAGGTGCGGGCCCACCGGTCTTCATGCTGGCTGCCAAGATTGGAACAACTTCCTCCCGCAGCAAGTGAGGCCAGCCATGCCGGTGGTGCACCTGCCACAGCAGCCCCAACCCCTGCCTCCAACCAGCTGGCACCCGTCCAGCCCAGGGGATCATGAGGCGCCTGGCTAGCGGGGGGCAGCCGCAATGGGGGTGGCGGAGGAGGCATCAACTGAGGATTCCCCCTATCGCCGCCGGCCTGCTTGCCGCCAGTTAGGTGGTATCCAATTGAGCTCCTCCCTGGCTAGTTGTTGAGAGCAGCTCAGAAGTGGCCAAGGCGGGTGACCTTCTCGTTCCCCTCTGCCACACGCGGGTGTATGTGGAGCTAGTCGTGAGTCGTGACCGCGGGGTATGTTGGAGGATGCTGAGTCACCGCAGTGAAGGTATACTCCACGGGGCCGTAAGTACCTAGGGCATATGGGAAGACATGCAGAAGGCATGCAGTCCTAAGGGCTCGCACTCTGTCGTGAGCCACTGATTAGGACTTCTCTCGCTCTCTATCTCTGTGTGTCTGTGTCTGCGTCTGTGTCTGCTCCTCCCTCTTTGTGCCTCTTACGATTTCCCAGTTTCTATTCCATCTCTGTCCACCCCGCCTTCTCTCTGAAGCTAGCTGGACAACAACAGCATTGAGGGCACTCTGCCACCCGCCATCTGCTCGCTACCCGAGCTATGGCGCATGTGAGTGGCTATGGCGCATGTGAGTGGCTATGGCGCATGTGAGTGGCTGTGGCGCATGTGAGTGGCTGTGGCGCATCGCATGGCACATAGTGTTTCAATATCTCCTCCTCCTTTCACTGTAGGTTTGCACGTGAAAGCAGAAGGTGAACTCTTCACTGTTTGACAGTACAACATGCACCGCCTCTGAATCGTTGGCTACATGCACAGCATATGTACCAGCAAGGTAAACGTTGGGAAAACAGCTGTTACCAACAGTGATAACCTCATGTCCTTAACCGTAAGTGTGGTGAAAATGGAAAAACGGTGTTGACCTCTCAGCATGAGAAGCGAGAAAAGGGCCGGCCCACCAAGACTAGAGTCCACCTGCCAAGTCAATTCTATGTGACCCATGCTATGTATGTGCGATAGAATATAGTGCTGAGTTGCTATGCAAGGGTCGTCCTTGCATGGTTGTGGGTCAAGCAGCATGTAATTTATTGCAGTAGAGTGAAGAAGCAGTGGGAAACACCACACAACGATCAAGTTGTAGCGCACACACCACACATAAACTCATAGGGAGGGAGGTGGGGAAGTGTTGTGTGGAATCTACTCTTTAGTTGTGTGCGCATGTTGAAGGTAGCAAGTGTTTCTTATTCGTGCTGCTACATTTTGGAGCTTGCGTTGATGAGGTAGAGTTGCATTGTGTGTTTTGTACGGTGTGCTGTGTGCTGTATGCTGGCAGCATGATGAGCAACAACTACCTCTATGGTCCCCTGCCAGAGTGCATCTTCGACAAGTGTGTCAATCAAATGTGAGACAATCAATCTCTGCACTCATCTCTGAGGTTCAAGCACGGTATTCCCACTCCTGTCAAACTTATATGCTGCATATTGTGTAGTCTGTAGTGGGGTAGCCTATATGGGGTACAACAAAACTCAGGGTTAGTACTTGTACTAATCCTGCTGCTAGTTCATTCCATTCTAGTTCGTTACTTTGACATGGAATCAGAGCAAGTTCCTTGGGCCCACCACCTGCTACGCTGCTAGTACCCCCCTAGGCCCATCGCGCCCCTTTGGCCCCGTCGCCCCTAGCCGCGCCACTCGGCCCCGTTGGCCCCGTCGCCCCTAGCCGCGCCCCTAGGCCCCGTTGGCCCCGTCGACCCCGTCGCCCCTAGCCGCGCCTCTCAGCCCCGTTGGCCCCGTCGCCCCTAGCCGCGCCCCTCGGCCCCGTTGGCCCCGTCGACCCTAGCCGCGCCCCTCGGCCCCGTTGGCCCCGTCGCCCCTCGCCGTGCCCCTTGGCCCCGTCGACCCCATCGCCCTTAGCGTCGGCCCCGTCGCCCCTAGCCGCGACCCCATCGACCCCGCCGCCCCTAGCTCGGCCCCTCGGCCTCGTTGGCCCCGTCGACCCCGTCGCCCCTAGCCACGCACCTCGGCCCCGTTGGCCCCGTCGACCCCGTCGCCCCTAGCTCGGCCCCGTTGGCCCCGTCGCCCCTAGCCGCGCCTCTTGGCCCCGTTGGCCCCGTCGCCCCTAGCCGCGCCCCTCGGCCCCTTTGGCCCCGTCGCCCCTAGCCGCGCCACTCGGCCCCGTTGGCCCCGTCGCCCCTAGCCGCGCCCCTAGGCCCCGTTGGCCCCGTCGACCCCGTCGCCCCTAGCCGCGCCTCTCAGCCCCGTTGGCCCCGTCGCCCCTAGCCGCGCCCCTCGGCCCCGTTGGCCCCGTCGACCCTAGCCGCGCCCCTCGGCCCCGTTGGCCCCGTCGCCCCTCGCCGCGCCCCTTGGCCCCGTTGACCCCATCGCCCTTAGCGTCGGCCCCGTCGCCCCTAGCCGCGACCCCATCGACCCCGCCGCCCCTAGCTCGGCCCCTCGGCCTCGTTGGCCCCGTCGACCCCGTCGCCCCTAGCCACGCACCTCGGCCCCGTTGGCCCCGTCGACCCCGTCGCCCCTAGCTCGGCCCCGTTGGCCCCGTCGCCCCTAGCCGCGCCCCTCGGCCCCGTTGGCCCCGTCGACCCTAGCCGCGCCACTCGGCCCCATTGACCCCGTCGACCCCGTCGCCCCTAGCCGCGCACCTCGGCCCCGTTGGCCCCGTCGACCCCATCGCCCCTAGCTCGGCCCCCCCTCGGCCCCGTTGGCCCCGTCGCCCCTAGCCGCGCCCCTCGGCCCCCTTGGCCCCGTCGCCCCCGTCGCCCCTAGCCGCGCCCCTCGGCCCCGTTGGCCCCGTCGCCCCTAGCCGCGCCCCTCGGCCCCGTTGGCCCCGTCGCCCCTAGCCGCGCCCCACGGCCCCGTCGACCCCGTCGCCCCTAGCTTGGCCCCTCGGCCCCGTTGGCCGCGTCGCCCCTAGCCGCGCCCCTCGGCCCCGTTGGCCCCGTTGCCCCCGTCGCCCCTAGCCGTGCCCCTCGGCCCCGATGGCCCCGTCGCCCCTAGCCGCGCCCCTTGGCCCCATTGGCCCCGTCGCCCCTAGTCGTGCCCCTCGGCCCCGTTGGCCCCGTCGCCCCTAGCCGCGCCCCTCGGCCCCGTTGGCCCCGTCGCCCCTAGCTGCGCCCCTCGGCCCCGCCCCTCGGTCCCTCGGCCCTTAGGCCCCTTTGGCCCCTCGGCCTCGTGTTTGGCCCCTCGGCCCCGCCCCTCGGCCCCTCGGCCCCTAGGCCCATTGACCCCTCGGCCCCTTGGCCCCTAGGCCCCTTGGCCCCTCCACCCCTAGTCCCCTTGGCCCCTCGGCCCCTAGGACCCTTGGCCCCTCGGCCCCTCAGCCCCGCCACCCTCGTGTTTCGCCCCTCGGCCCCTAGGCCCCTTGGCCCCGCCCCTTGTCCCCTTGGAAACTGCTCCTGCAACTGCTGCTACTGCTACTGCTGCTGCTGCTCCTGCTGCTACTCCTGCTACTGCTGCTCCTGAGTGCTGCGCCACTATGGCTTCGCTTAGAGTTATAGCGTTCGATCATGAGGGCCGACCGGTTGCATTTGACACGTGGCATGACGATAGTAAGGACAGTGTCTCACTGTTTGACCACGTGTCAGGTGTCGCTCCAGCCCCTCCCGCCACAGCTGACGGTTCGACTCGTTCTCAGTGGCTGTCTTGTGACACTACTGCCCGCTTAGCCATTCGCAACCACCTGCCGGTGGCCGAATGTACTCACTTTGGACAGCACAGGACAGCACAGGCCCTGTACGACGCTGTCGTTGCTCGCTACTCCTCCCCTGCCATTGCTGCTCTAGGCAGACTGCTAGTGCCCTACCTATTCCCTGAGCTGTCGGCTTTTGCCACAGTAGCGGACCTGGTTACCCACCTGCGCACTAGCGACGCTCGCTACCGCGCTACCGTCCCTGCTGAGTTCCTTGCCACGAACCAGCCCCCCATGTTCGTCCCCCTCTACTTCATAGTCTCTTGCCTCCCTGACTCTCTTCGCTCTGTCAGGGACCACTTTCTCTCCCTAGACCCCACCTCCCTCACTGTTGACCTCCTCGAGCAGCATGTCCTCGCAGCTGAGACTAGTGCACTTGCCATAGATGCTGCTCGTGGCACTCCGCGCTCGCCCTTCTTTGAGGGGTGATCCCCCTCCCCCCTTTCCCCCTCTTTTGCCTCTGCTGCTGCTGCAGACGTCTCTGTTAGTGAGGACGTCGGTGCTGCTTGGACTAGTGCGAAGCGCCGTTGCAGCAAGGGCAAGGGTGGCAGGGATGGTGGAGGAGGCAGCGGTGGTGGTGGAGGTGGCAGTGGGAGCGGTGGTGGGGGCAGCGGTGGAGGTGGTGGAGGCAGTGGAGGTGGTGGTGGCAGTGGAACTGGTGGCAGCAGTGGGGGCTCTGGTGGCGGTAGTGGAGGCAGCGGAGGGACTGGCGGCAGTGGAGGTGGTGGGACTGGTGGTGGCAGGTCTGGACCTCGGAGTGGAGGCCCTGGTGGTGTGGTCAGCGACAGCAGCAGCAGCGTCGGAGCGAGACCCAGTCGCCCCAGCAGCTCCGTGAGTGGTTGGTTCAGCGTGGGCCGGGTGGGGGTAGTGAGAGCTGCCCGTATGTCATTCGCACGGGTGTCCATGCGGGCCAGACATGTGGGAGGCTTCACACTGAGCACCGCTGATTTGCCCGCCTTGACGACGCCTGGCTTGCTGAGTATGGTGACGACGTCGAGCGCCCTCGCTGGGCGGAGTTGCTTAGGTCGGGAGTTGCTATCTTTGACCTAGACTATGATGCTATTATCTCAGCCACGTATGCTTTGTCTTTTAGTGCTGAGGGTGACTGTTACCGGTTTGTGCCACCTGACCCAGGTATAGCAGCTGCTGCTCTAGGTGCTAGTGCGTCTGGTACTCCCCCTGGTAATGCGCCTGCTGAGGCCTTGCACACCTTCACGTTGGACTCTGGCGCCTCGCGCTGTTTCTTTCGTGACAGCACCACTCACACTCCTCTCAAGACCTTCCTGTCCTTCGTCTGCACTCTGACAAAGGTGGTGAGTTCTCCTCCAACCTCTTGCGGGACTTTTGTCGTGGG